AATCATTTTGTCTAATTAACAAATTTTATCTTTTAAGATAATACATTTTTTAATTATAAATTAATGTACAAAAAAAATATTATAATCACTTAATATTATTAAACGTAAAAAGATAAAATTAAAATTTATTAGATAATTATTAATTAAAAAATGTGACAACAAATTAAAAAATTAAAATAGATAAATTTATAAATAAAATTAAAAAATTTTAATGCGTTAACAGCTTGGTACAAAAAGTTACATAAATTAACTTTTTCAATCCGCTAGCGGTTTAGACTTTAACCGCTATCAGTTAGTCTCAAACCGCTAAATAAAAATTTTACCAAACACTTTATTTATAATGATTTCAAAATATATAAATTTACCAAACACTTATATTTAACGATTTAGGTAAAACCGCTAACCGCTAACCGCTAACCGCTAACCGCTATCTCAAAATCACTATACTATACGAGACCTTAATCACGTTATACGCGGGAAGTATGTAATGGGCCCCACAGCCCACCTGCAACATCGGTAAAATTATAATATTTAAATTTTGGAGGGTAAGTGTGAAATGGCCGTCATCCACGATCATCCTAAAGCTTAAAATAATTTGGGAGATATCATTATTCATTTTTTATGTAATTCATTACAATCAACCAGAAATCCTCTCATTTTGTTGCTATTTACTTGTCTAGTTTACCCTCCCTCCCTCTTCAGAGTTTGGTTCAGAGGAAGTCATGGAGAGCATCTATCATTTCAGCCATCGACATCCTTTGGTGCTTGTGGATCAAGAGCCGGGTGATCATGGAAGTCGAAAGGTTTTTGTTCTCGATGCAACGAAGCAGTAGAGGGTTATTGTGAAAATTGCGAGAAAGTAGCAGAGGGTTATTGTTCTGGATGCGAGGAAGAATTAGAGGGTTCCAGCTACGGTTGTGGTGAGTGTGGGTTTTTCCTTCATAAGAAATGTGCTGAGCTACAAAGGGAGATCACTAATCACCCCCTCCACTCCGATCACCCTCTCATTCTTCGTTGGAGACCTTATCCTACTGCTTTCTGTAATGTTTGCTGGAAAAGAATTAGAATTTCTTATCGATGCAATTCTTGTGATTTTGAACTTGACCTTACATGTGCTATGCATCCTCAATTTGTTGCCCAAGAGTTTCAAAAGCTTCAACATTTTAGCCACCATCATCCATTAATGTTTGTTGAAGATATTGAATTTCAAACCAAACATAAAGTCTGTGCAGGATGTAGGGAACCCATGTACAAGTCAAGTCCATTCTACTGTTGTCCCAATTGCATATTTCACCTTCACAAGAAATGTGCAGAGTTGCCTCTTAAGATCAATCACTCTGCCGACCGGAAACACCCTCTCCTGCTTTTGGCCAAACCCTCACCACATCAAGAGAAATGTTCTTGTCATTTGTGCACCAAGTCTTATGAGGGATTTGTTTATTATTGTTCTGTTTGTGAGTTTGGTTTCAAAGCTGCGGATGCCTTTTTGCAAACAATTACAGCTGAAATTCATGAACATTCGTTGACCCCCTTTTCAGGCACAATTTCATTCGTTTGTAATGCATGTGGAACTGATGGAAATCATGTTTGCTTTACCTGTGTTGAATGCAACCTTATTTTTCATTCAGATTGTACTTCACTTCGCCGCACCATCAAAATAATAAGGCATCCACATCGACTTTCTCACATATATTTCTTTCAAGATGAGGAAGCTGGAAAACGTGAATGCAATATCTGTCATGATGACATAAATCTGGGATATGGGAGTTACTGCTGTTCAGATTGCAAATATTTTGCTCATGTAAATTGTGCAATTGATGAAGATCTTTTGGAAGATGAAGAGTCCAAACTATCAGATGACTTGATTGCTATCTCTCCTGCTTTTCAGCAAATCAAACCTGGAGAGATAAAGCATTTCAGCCATAAACACAACTTAATATTGGGTGATGATGGGGTTGAGGATGGCCAAAGTTGTGAAGGTTGCATGCGTTCCATCTCTACTTCATTTTACTATTGTGCACAATGTAATTTCTTTCTCTGCAACTGCTGTGTTCATAAATTACCCAAGAAGGTGCGTCACTGGACTAGCAGGTATTTAAGAGAACTCTTTTTCTATTCCATTTTTCGTTGTCATTATTGCTGGTTTTGGAGTAGTGGGTTTGGCTACAATTGTAAGGGCGGGATTATGTGCATTCGGTGTCATGAAATTCTCGACACTCGTATTGTAAATATAGAAGGACAGGAGCACTTCCTTTTCTTTGACCACAAATACGACGGGAAATGTAATGGTTGTGATGATTATCGTTATCGACGCAGTTTTAGATGCAAGGACAAGAAATGCAATTTTGCGTTGGATTATAGATGCCTTGTGCTGCCAGAAACAGCTCGGTATAAATATGACTATCATGCTCTCAGGCTTACTTATCGTGATGATCATGATCTAAGTCAATGTTATTGTGACATATGTGAAGAAAAGAGAGATCCGAAGCAGTGGTTTTATCATTGTGCTGATTGCGATGTTTCTGCTCATCCTAATTGTGTGCTTTGGGAATCCCCATTTGTCAAGCTCGAGAAACCATTCTGGATTGATGATCACGAACACCCTGTCACTTTGGTGAAGATACATTTTTATCCTCCTAGATGCAACGACTGTGGTGAGCCTTGTAGAGATGTTCTATCCATTCAATGCACAGAGCCAGATTGCACCTACATATTCCACTGGGGCTGCTACTGGAATCGTGAATATTCTTCGGTTTGGTGTCTTCTACATAGAGACTAAATAGCTAACATTGGTATTGTTCTTCTGATATTAATTATGTCTCTTATGAAGGTAGACGAAAATGAGATATCTCATTTGCACTTTATTTTGTTTTCGACTGACTTTTTAAGTTTAGTTTGATCTTCTAGCTGTTGGCTAATGTGGTCGGACTGTAATTTTTTGTTTCTACCAAATATGTGATATGACTATTGTTTGAATTTTGAATGTATTGCTTTAAATAGTTGTTTTTTCTTATCAATAATTTGGTTGTCTTTGTACTTCAAATACAGAAAAATATTTCTTTTTCCTTTTCTTTATAGATTTTGATATTTATTTGTTTCTATGTGTCCTATTTATGCTTACTTCAATAGTTCATATATTCTTTACTTATATTTTTACACAGACAGGATATATTATATTCTCTACTTATATTTTTATACAGAGAAAATATATTTTAATAACAAGATATTTTATCTTACATCGAAACTTATTATTAGCAATTTTTATTTTGCAAAATCATATCAATTTTTACCAAATTAAAAATAAAGGCATTCCTTGCGGAGACTTCTGAAGGAAAAACCTTATAATTTTTTTTTTCTTTTCCTTTTGAGAAAGCCATATAATTAGTTCCTGTTCTTCTTTACACTATTCCTAAAGGATTGAATTCAAAACCTCTCTTGACTCCAGCCAGTTCTTTGATCACTACACAAATGCTTTATTGGCTTTCACAAGTCTCTATCTATCTTGATTAACAGAAATTAGAATAACTGCTCATAAAATTCATGGTTCATGAACATGAAAGAAAGAACTAATTTCAGGGTTATAAACTCATTATTACATGTTAATATGTCATTGTTCCCTCAACCTATCTCAGAATATCAGAACTAACACCGGGAATTGAAGCAATACCAGTTATATCCATCAGTTAACAGATAGTTGGAAGATCAAGTGCGCTCCACAGACAAAATTCACCTTCATGGCTTGAAGAAGATCCTGTTTCGACTGAGCTGCTGGGAGAATCCAGGTTCTCCGCCACTTTCTTCCCCATCACTTCATTTTCATTTCCTTCTCCTTTCTTGTCCTCTAGACTTTGAATTGACAGTTCAGCTTTTACTCTTCCACCCTTGACATTTTCTAACCCGAGCCTCAGCCTCAAACACTCTGGTATTCCATTAAAAGCATAAAAAGTAGAGAACTTCCTCTCATACTTCATTCTCTTCATGACAGCTCTTAACACTGAGGGCTTGTTCGAGAAATTCTCTGCCTCCACTGGCTCTTCAATCTCTTCAGCCATCTCGAACGCAGAGTAATAACTGGATGATCCAATGTCATCCACAAAATGAAAATCAAGTGCTTCCATATCAAGTACTTCTTCAACAATGTCATCACACCTGGAAGATTGAGCAGCATCACTGAAATTGCAATAATCTAACCCCAAATCTCTCCCACTAGAATCCACCTTCATTGTTAAACATGATTCAAGACTCATTGTCAAGTAATCACAAGCATTTGCAGTAGCATTACTGATGTAGTAGCCATTGGAGATGCTGTAATCTTCAAGATCATTGAGAAAATCAGTGAATTGTGTATCAAACAAATCCCCTGATTCTCCAT